GTGATGGTGGTGGTGATGATGGTGATGATGAGGATGAGGATGAGGATGATGATGAGGATGAAATTAACTGCAGTGTAAACCAACCTCACCCTCCCTGGAATCTGCATTTTTCTGTAGCCATGGCCGCCAGCCCCAGGCACTGAAGCCTCCCTGCTGGCCCTCACTTGGTTAACACACATGAAAACACCCACAATCTTGGCCGCTGATGCTCCACCGCCCGCCCACCTTCCCACCATCTCTGAAGGAGCAGAACAGAGATGTAATTGAGAGTCCTCCATCCCGAGATGAGGCAAGACCTGCAATACAGCCGCTCACTGCTCTCCCGGAAAGCAGACTGACCGGGGCAGCGGAAAGGGAGTCTGTGCTTGGATCCTGGCACTCAGCGGCCACTCAGGAGCAATCTGTGTGCTGTGACCTGTGGCCTTAGGAGTTGCCTACTACTGGTCAGTGTGTGTGTGCATGTGTAATTTATGTGTATGTGTGTGCCAATATTGGGGCTTGAATTCAAGGCCTGGTCACTGTCTCTTATGTCTCTTAACTTTTTTGCTCAAGGCTGGCACAACACCACCTAAGCCACACCTCCACTTCCAACTTTTTGTTGGTGAACTGGCTGGTTAATAAGGGTCTCATGGACTTCCCTGACTGGGCTGGCCCCCAACTGTGATCCTCAGATCGCAGCCTCCTGAGTAGCTAGGATTATAGGCATGAGGCACCAGTGCCAGGCTGCTATGTATTCTTGCAGAGACTGGTCATGACCTCACTAGGTACGTCTTGGGGGAGTAGGGGCAGGAGGCCCAGTGAGAGGAATGCACGCCTTGCAGTTTACAAGCGTGTCTCTGGACAGGAGGTTCTGCAGCCCCAAAGCCCAGTGTCATCATTACAGGAACCCCTGTCGAACATGGCATTTTGCTAATTAGATCAGTGCACATGTAAGAATGATGTGGCATATGGCTAAGGCTTGCAGGGCGGCTTCCGTCATCCCTGAACATGTTGCTTTAACTGTTTCCATGGGTACAGCGTAGGTCATCTGGTGATTGTATATCTTTCTTGCTAAGCTGACCTTGGTCTGAGGCTATTTGCATTTCTGGTTTACATTTGTTATTGTTTTGTTATTGAATTGCTGGCACTGAGCCTTAAACGGAGTGCTTTGCATTTGCTCAATGTGCTTGCTCAGGTGGTGCTCTACCACCGGAGCCATGTCTCCAACCAGGGTTTTTGCTGGTTATTTTTGAGATGGAGTCTTGTCAACTTTTCTACCCCTCCTGATCTCAGCCACTTGAGTATCTAGGATTTACAGGTGGAAGCCACTGACACCTAGCTACTTTTCATTTTCAAAAGGATTGTAAGAAAACATCACTGGCAGCCAGGCACCGGTGGCTCATGCCTATAATCCTAGCTATTCAGGAAGCTGAGATCTGAGGATCTCAGTTCAAAGCCAGCCCAGGCAGGAAACTCCATGAAACTCTTGTCCCCAATAAACCACTCAGAAAACCAGAAGTGGCGCTGTGGCTCAAGTGGTAGAGCACTTGCCTTGAGCTGAAGAGCTGAGGGACAGTGCCCAGACCCTGGGTTCAAGCCCCATGACTGACCAAAAAAAAAAAAAGCATCACTGGAGAGCCTCCTGGCCTTGGTACTGGTGGGGTGGAAGCCAGTTTGAACTGGTGCACTATCAGTATGCTAAGATGGACAGTGGACATCTCCCCTTGACAATAGGGCTGAAAAGACTTTTCTCCAAATTCTCATGTTTCTCCATGACTTTTTTTTTATTGCCAGTCATGGTGCTTGAACTCAGGGCCTGGGCACTGTCCCTGAGCTTCTTTTGCTCAAGACTAACACTCTACCACTTGAGCCACAGCACTACTTCTGGCTCTGTGTATATGGTACTTAGGAATGGAACCCAGGGCTTCATGCATGCTAGACAAGCACTCTATCACTAAGCCATATTGCCAGCCCCGCCTCCCCTTTTCTTAAGACATGATCTTGCTGTGTAGTTAAGGCTGGCTTCAAATTTGTGGTCCACCTGAGTGTTAGGATTATAGATGTGTGCTATCACACCCAGCCTTGACCACATTTTGGGGTTTTATTTGGGGGGGGGGGACAGTCCATAGATTTGAACTCAGAGCCTCATCAATTCTAGGCAGGTGCTCTACTTGAGCAGCCCTTCCCCACTTTAGTTATTTTTCAGGAAGGGTCTCTTGTTTCTGCCCAGGGCCAGCCTCAAACTGGGATCCTTCCACCTATGGGTGGCTTCCTGCATAAGGGAGACTGCAGGAACCCGCCACCATGCCCAGCTTTTTCTGTTGAGCTGGGAACAGGATGTCACTAACACTTTGCTCAGGCTGACCTGGAATTGTGGTCTTCTTGATGTCTGCTTCCCAAGCAGCAGGAATTACAAGTTTGAGCCATTGTGGTTGGCTTATTTTTATTTATTTATTGTTTTGGTTGGCCGTGGGGCTTGAACTCTGGGCCTGGGCACTGTCCCTCAGCTCTTTTGCTCAAGGCTAGCTCTCTACCACTTGAGCCACAGAACCACTTCCTGTTTTCTGAGTGGTTTCTTGGAGATAAGATTCTCATGGACTTTCCTTCTCGGGCTGGCTTTGAACTGTGATCCTCAGATCTCAGCCTCCTCAGTAGCTAGGATTACAGGCGTGAGCCACCGGTGCCTGACCTTGGCTTATTTTTATGGAAAGAACTTTTCCTTGGTTTGAGATCTAAACCCCTGTCTCTATTTAGTTCAGCAAATATTTACAGATAGCTACTATGGGTCTTCGAGTGAGTGAGTGAGCTCATTAACACTCAGCTCCCTCAGGACAAGGCTGGGCCAGGAAGAATTCAGTTCCTTGATGGAGTCCTTCAGTGGCACAAATGAGGAGACCCAGACGTTTTTATCTGGGGAGGTAGATGGATTTGAAAAAGAGCCAGAAAACAGTCTCTCCCTCCCAATGAGCTGGCGGTGAGCTGACAGAGCCCAGCGCACCTGCTGAGGGGGTTTCCTGCAGGTCCAGGCTGTGGGAAGGCAGGGGCCAGATCTCTAGGTCTGTCTGGGGGAGAGTCACATGAGGCAGGCTGGCTGGTTTTGAAGAGTGTCTTCTCACGGTTGGGAAGTGGCAGAGGTGCCCGCCAGGGATTGGAAGATGGGTTGGCAGATGGAGGGAGGTCAGACAGATTTGGATTTCCTGAGTCATGGAAGGCCCACTGGGAGGAAGGATAGGAAAGAACTAGGGAGGGGGAGGCAGGACTGGAGAAAGCGAAGGTGGAGCCTGTCCTATGAATCATTAGGATCTGGCCCCACAGGACCGTTCTGAGTCTGAGAGGTCCCGGGGAGGGAAGAGGGGGGCAGGTCACAGCCAGCAGAGCCCCCAGTCGGACCCCCGTGGACATCTTAGGCTGGATGTGGATCTCCGTTAACATTAGCGCTGGGAGAGCCAGGAGTTACAGCCCAGAGATGAGTTTCCAGGGAGCTTAACTATGGAGAGTAGATGCCAAAGATTGCCAGAGATAGCCATGGTCTGATGTAGAGTGGAAAGCTTCATGGGATGATGCATGGGTCTACTGTCACTGCAGCTCTGCAGAGGGGAGTGGCTGAGCGGTAGAAACAGGACGAAAGCCATCAAAGGACTTTCTCTACTAGAGATGGAGGCATGAGCCACTGATGCCCGGCTATGAACTCCTCTTATATGAACCTGATTCTTCTTATTTCTTACTTTTAAAAAGAAAAAAAAAAATGCCTGGCTCTGGTGGCTCATGCTTGTAATCCTAGCTACTCAGGAGGCTGAGATCTGAGGATCCCAGTTCAAAGCCAGCCCCGGCAGGAAAGTCCATGAGACTCTTTTTTTTTTTTTTTTTTCCTGGTCAGTCCTGGGCCTGAACTCTGGGCCTGGGCACTGTCCCTCAGCTCTTCAGCTCAAGGCTAGAGCTCTACCACTTGAGCCACAGCACCACTTCTTACTTTTTCTGCATGCAAGACCTCATGCATGCAAGACAAGCACTCAACCACTGAGCCACCTTCCCAGCCCCAGTCTGTGAGACTCTTATCTCCAATAAACTACCAGAAAACCGGAAGTGGCACTGTGGCTCACGTGGTAGAGAGTTAGCCTTAAGTTAAAGAGCTTAGGGACAGCACCCAGGCCCAGAATTCAAACCCCACAACTGACCCCTCCTCCCCCGGCCCCCCCCCCCCAAAAAAATATATATATATGCATAATTGTTTTGTTTCTTTTAACCAAACCAGGGGTTGAACTTAGGGCCTTGTGCACAGTTATTTAGTGGGTATGTAAGGTCCTGTCTACACAAGGTGTGGCTTCATTGAGGCCTTATGATCTCGTAGGCTTCCACCTACACTTGCTGTAGATCCTTCGCGAGCCTCCAGATTGTTAGCAGCTGTGGTAAAAATGCTACTCAGGAACAATGAGTTGCATTTGGTTTTGGTCCTGAGAGAAGCCAGACTCTCATGTATACTAAGCCCATATTCTACAGTGAGCTGCAGCCCTTCCTCCCAAAATAGTGAAGGAAAACGTGGTTTGTTTCCCTTCCTTTCTGGCTCCCTGTCGTTCCGAGCATTTTTCGCAGCACCAGAGTGCTGAGCGTATTGTGCGAGGTAGGGAATCGACACTCCCTTGCAGTGGTGTGACAACCCACCAACTACACACCTTCTGCGTCACCCTTCTTCGTGTGTAACATGAAGATTTGTGCGTTTTCATCCTGTCCTAGAGGAAAGGATACATCTAAACCGCTTTGGTGAACCAACTTTCTTTAAAATTCCAATTCCCTCCCCCACACTCCAGTATCTACAAAGAATGGGTCTTATATTTCCTATAGCATGTTTGGCCAGGCATGGTAACACACACCTATAATCCCAACACTTGAGAGACTGAGACAGGAGGATCATGAGTATGAGAGCAGCCTGGGTCTTGAATAGTTCAGTCATGAAGCCAGACACCAAGAGTCAATAAGGATTACCAAGGTTTTAAGTGCTTTCTTCTTTGTCCTCACCAGGATCAAGATGACCACAGCCACAACTTTGGGAGATGCTGTCTTCTCCTTGAACATGACCACCAGGGGAGAAGACTTCCTGTATAAGAGTATGTCAGTGTGGCCAGGGCACTGGGGGTGGGTGGACAGGTCAGTGCCACGTCAGCTGCTGCTGTGTAGAGGCCAAGAACATAGAGCACTGGGTTTGATTCGAATTCTGCCACTGGCCAACTGCATGACCTTGAATTGAATGCAAGCCTTCTTTGCTTTGAGCTTGTGAGATGGGTTTTAAGGATGCTGCCACCAAGGGACTATGGGAACCCAAGAAACCCAGGGGAAGGGCGGAGATGGACACTAGCTCACACTAAGCACTGACAAGCATTATTATTGCTGTTGCTGCTATTACTGTTGTTTTCATTACAGCATCTGGGCATCTAAAAGACAATGGACATCTGAATCTCTCTCTTTTTATTTTATTATTTTTTGCCAGTCCTGGGCACTATCCCTGTGTTCTTTTGCTCAAACTAGTGCTTTACCACTTTGGGCCACAGCTCTACTTCCAGTTTTTAGGTGGTTAATTGGAGATAAGAGTCTCACAACTGGAAGTGGCGCTGTAGCTCAAGTGGTAGAGCGCTCACCTTGAGCTGAAGAGCTGAGGGACAGCGCCCAGGCCCAGAGTTCAAGCCCCACGGCCGACAAAAAAAAAAAAAGAGTCTCACAACTCTTCCTGCCCAGCTGGCTTTAAGCTGTGATCCTCAGAACTCAGCCTCCTCAGTGGCAAGGTTTGTAAGTGTGAGCCACCAGTGCCCTGCCTGACTCTCTCTCTCTCTTTTCATTTTATTTTTTGGTCAGTCATGGGGCTTGAACTCTGGGCCTGAGCGCTGTCCCTCAGCTCTTCAGCTCAAGGCAAGAGATCTACCACTTGAGCCAAGGTGCCATTTCCAGTTTTCTGAGTGGTTTGTTGGAGATAAGAGTCTCATGAACTCAGGGCTGGGAAGGTGGCTCAGTGGTAGAGTACTTATCTTGCACTCATGTAGTCCTGGGTTTGATTCCTCAGCACCACATAAGCAGAAAAAGCCAGAAGTGGCCCTGTGGCTCAAGTGGTAGAGCACTAGCTGAGGGACAGCACCCAGGCCCAGAGTTCAGGCACCAGGACCAAAAAAAAAAAAAAAAAGGTCTCATGGATTTTCCTGCCAGGGCTGGCTTTGAACTGGGATCCTCAGATCTCAGCCTCCTGAGTAGCTAGGATTATAGGTGTAAGCCACCAGTGCCTGGCTTGCTTGCTACGTTTTTCTTTTTTCTTTTTTTTTTTTCCAGTTCTAGGGCTTGAACTCAGGGCCTAGGCACTGTCCCCAAGCTTTTGCTTAAGGCTAGCACTCTACCACTTGAGCCATAGCACCACTTCTGCCTTTTTCTGTGTATGTGGTACTGAGGAATCAAACCCAGGTCTTCATGCATGCTAGGCAAGCACTCTACCACTAAGCCACATCCCCACTCCCTACCTTGCTAGTTGTTGTTTTTTTGTTGTTGTTTTTTTTGTTTTTTTTTTTGGGTCCGGTTGTGGGGCCTGAACTCTGGGCCTGGGCGCTGGTCCCTCAGCTCTTCAGCTCAAGGCTAGCACTCTACCACTTGAGCCACAGCGCCACTTCTGGCTTTTTTTTTCTTTTTGCTTATGTGTTGCTGAGGAATCGAACCCAAGGTCTCAGGCATGTAAGGCAAGCGCTCTACCACTGAGCCACCTTCCCAGCCCCTACCTTGCTAGTTTTTAAGAGTAAAAAACTGAAAACAACAAGAACATCATCAACAGGAAGTTGGTGAATAGATTATAGTTCATCCAAACAATGACAATACTGTGTGGCCGTCCAAAGTCATGAAGAAAAGTACGCTCACACCTGTAATCCTTGCTACTCAGGAGACTCAGATCTGAGGATAGAGGCTAAAAGACAGCCTAGGCAGGAACGTTTGTGATACTCTTATCTCTAATTAACCCCCCCCCAAAAAAAAAAGGTGAAAGTGGAGCTGTGGCTCAAGTAGTAGAGCACTAGCCTTGGGCTAAAAAGCTAATGGATAGTGCTTAGGCCTTGAGTTCAAGCCCCAATACTAGCACGAGAAAAGATGAACTCTTCAGCCCTTGAGAGCAACCACCCTGCTCCCTCTGATCTACTTTCTCTACTTAGTCCCACGCTTCAGGCCTCACCCCCTCCCAGGGAGTGTCCATCAGTAGACCAGTAGATTGATCCATTGATCAGGGCAGAGTCCTTATGATCCAGTCACCTCTCAAGGATCAGATCCACCAGTGAAAGACCAAGTTTTCATGCTAGTTTTGAGGAGACACTTGATATCCAAACAATGTCAGATGGCACAGTGGGGCCCCTCCCTGTCCACACTTTCGCTCCTCCCTCTCCATAGGTTCAGGAGCCATCGTTGCTGCCATTGTGGTGGTTGTCATCATCATCTTCACCGTGGTTCTGATCCTGCTCAAGCTGTATAACAGGTATGGGAGGTCATGGGGCCTGGGATCCGTCTGGTCTGGTCATCCAGCCCTATTCAACAGAGTTGGGATTCACACCCAGCTCACGTGGTTTCAGAGAAAAAACTGCCATCATTCATGAGGTAGCAGTAGTAGAACTACTACTACTACTAATAATACACACCTGTAATCCTAGCTACTCAGGAGGCTGAGATCTGAGGATCATGGTTCAAAGCCAGCCAGGGAAGGAAAGTCCCTGAGACTCTTATCTCCAACAAGCCACTCAGAAAACCAGAAGTGGCACTGTGGCTCAAGTGGTAGAGCACCAGCCTTGAGCTGAAGAGCTGAGGGACAGTGCCCAGGCCCAGAGTTCAAGCGCCACGATCACCACCAACAACCAAATAATATTAATAATAATAAATGTTATTTTTAAACATTTTTTAGCTGAAGGCATGGCTTTCATGGTAGAGCACTTCCCTAGCCAGTGTGAAGTGGTGAGTTCAAACTCACCCCCCAGTAAATAAGTAAACACATATGAATAAAGTTATAAAATTGCTGGGCGCCAATGGCTCATACCTGTAATCCTAGCTACTTAGGAGGCTGAAATCTGAGGATCATGGTTTGAAGCCAACCCAGAAAAGTCCATGAGACTCTTAACTCCAATTAACCACCGGAAAACCAGAAGTGGCACTGTGGCTCAAAGTGATAGAGCGCTACCTTTGAGCACAAAAGCTCAGGGACAGCGCCCAGGCCCTGAGTTCAAGCCCCATGACCAACAGGGGAAAGAATAAAGAATAAAATAAGCCAGGGACTGGTGGTTCACATTTGTAGTTACTTGTAGTTACTTGAGATCTGAGAATCACCGAGTGAAGCCAACCTAGCCAGGAAAGTCCATGCAACTTTTATCACTAATTAAGCCCCAAAAAGCCAGAAGTGGAGCTGTGGCTTAAGTGGTAGAGCGCTAGCTTTGAGCTCAGGGATTTGCTCCCAGGCTCTTGAGTTCAAGTCCCAGGACAGGAACAACAAAAAAAAAATATTACAACTTCATTCTGTTTTGAATACAACCATTTTTCTGATAGTTTATTCCTGAGTAAGAACAAATCTCAGACAAAAAGTTGTAGGCCCTCTTTCTATTCTCAGCAGACTGTCCACATTCCAGAAAATGATCTCCCTCTAAAGGGACACACAGTGATCAAGAAGACCCCCTGAAAAACCCTCCAGAGGGATTTCAATCCCCTTAGAAAGAAAAAGAAGATCCTCCAGGTTGACAAAATAGTGGGAAAGAAAGGAACTTGTTGGGGCTGGGAAGGTGGCTCAGTGGTAGAGTGCTTGCTTTGCATGCATGAGGCCCTGGGTTCGATTCCACATAAGCAGAAAAAGCCAGAAGTGGCGCTGTCGCTCAAGTGGTAGAGCTCTAGCCTTGAGCTGAAGAGCTGAGGGACAGCACCCAGGCCCAGAGTTCAGGCCCCACAACTGACCAAAAAGAAAAATCTCAAAAGGGCTGGGAAGGTGGCTCAGTGGCAGAGTGCTTGCCTTGCATGCATGAGGCCCTGGATTCGATTCCTCAGCACCACATAAGCAGAAAAAGCACCAGCCTTTAGCTGAAGAGCTGAGGGAGAGCGCCCAGGCCCAGAGTTCAAGCCCCACGACCAACAACAACAAAAAGATATTCCCACAAATGTTCCACTGCCCTGAGTCTGCAGAGGATCCAAGAAGAGCACCTAGCCCAACATTAGAGCATCCACAAAGACTTTAGGAAATTGCTTCTCTCCCTCCTTTCCTTCCTTCCTTCCTTCCTTTCTTCTTTCCTTCCTTCCTTCTTTCCTTCCTTCTTCCTTCCTTCCTTCCTCCCTAACTTCCTTCCTCTATCTTTCCTTCCTTCTTTAATAAAATAGAGAAAAAAAATTTTAAAAAAGGAACTGGTTTTCTGTAGATATGTACACAACCGCCAGTGTTCCACTGGGCTTCCGTTACAAAATGAAGTCTGGGTGTGCTCACTTCCCCATCTATATAGTTACTCAGGAGAATGAGTCTCTAGTTGAAATCTAAAACTTCTTAGGTGAGAAATATATCCACAGAGTTTGCATAAGGAAAGATGTGGCTTGTCCAGTAACTCAATCCCAGAAAGATGAATTCATCCTTAAAAGAAATGATGGTTGAACTTGTTTCAAACCCAGGTGCTTTGATTCAGCAAGCAACAACAGTTACAAACAAACAAGGCTATCAGAAAAATGTGGAATGGTTCCATCAGTGGGCTGATGAGTAAGACATAAGTTAACCTGGCTTCAGAAATACCATGTAGGATCCTGATACCAATTTGTGGTACTACAACAATGCAATAAGATGGGCTGGGAAGGTGGCTCAGTGGTAGAGCGCTTGCCTTGCATGCCTGAAGCCCTGGGTTCGATTCCTCAGCACCACATAAGCAGAAAAAAAAGCCGGAAGTGGCGCTGTGGCTCAAGTGGTAGAGTGCTAGCCTTGAGCTGAAGAGCTGAGGGACAGCACACAGGCCCAGAGTTCAGGCCCCACAACCAGACCCAAAAAAACAAAAAACAAAACAAAACAAAAAAACCAATGCAATAATTCTATTGATTTGAGAGGAAAAAAATAGTTGCAGGAGTCACACTAGAGACACCCACCATCCTTCACAGTTGTAATATTCTGTGGGTGACATTGAATCAATGTGATTTTACAGGGATCTACACTAATCTTGTCACCAGCACTGTAGCCACTGAGCCTGCTCCCCACCACCCAGGAGGGAAGACACTTACCCAGGTGTTCCTGTCTCATTACAGGAGAATGAGGACCAGGCGAGAACTGGAGCCCAAGGGCCCCAAGCCAGCTACCCCTCCCGCCGTAGACCCCAACAGCCAACAGCAGCCCGCAACTGTGACCTTCAGTCCTGTAGACCTGCCCTCAGAGACTCGGTGACCTCTGCCCCAGTGCGACCCTTCATTCCCACCCCACCTCTATCTGAAGAGCTTTCTCCAGTCAGACCCCAAAGCATACTTCTCTGCCTGGCAGCTTCATAGGAGTTCCTTCTGTTCAGCTGTGCCAAAGCATCCTTCATACCATCGCTGCATCCCTTTACCTGGTTCTGCTCCCCCCTACCCAGCCATGTCCACATCCCTGCTGGCACCTTCCCCGAAAGGCTGTACAATGCTCTTTTGTCATCTGTTGAGGTGGGGGATATGGCTTTGGTTCTCTCCCTACATTGCTCTAGGTAGATAAACAACCAAGCAGACAGGCAAACAGAAAGACAGGTAGACATTGTCCTGATTCTCCTGCTCAAGAGTCAGCAAACACTCCTGAGAGAGGCACTCTGGGTCTGCCAGAGGGACCAGCTTGGATCTGCCATCTGCCCAGCTATGCAGAGCAAGACAGTTAGTTGATCCTGTGGCGGGGAGCAGGGCCCAGAGAACTAACCTGAGCTAACTACTCAGAAAACAAATATGGTCATGTTTAACCTGCTGCAGTACAAGATGACTACGGCTAGTTTGAATTGACAGTTCACCCTGTTTCTCCCCCTTAAGAAAGATTACAAGCTGGGTACCAGTGGCTCACACCTATAATCCTAGCTACTCAGGAGGCTGAGATCTGAGGATCACAGTTCAAAGCCAGCCCTGGAAGGCAAGTGAGATTCTTATCTCCAATTAACCACCAGAAAAGCAGAAATGGTGCTGTAGCTCAAGTGGTAGAGGGCTAGCCTGGAGCTGAAGAGCTCGGGGACAGTGCCCAGGCCCAGAGTACAAGTCCCATGACCAACCAAAAAAAAAAAAAAGAAAGAAAAAAGGTTACAAACTAGGGCACCAGTGGCTCACACCTAACTACTCTGGAACCTGAGATCTGGGGATCGTGGTTGGAAGCCAACCAGGACAGAAAAGTCTCCGTAAGACTCTTAGCTCCAATTAACCACTCAAAAACCAGAAGTGAGGGCTGGGAATGTGGCTTAGTGATAGAGTGCTTGCCTAGCATGTATGAAGCCCTCGGTTCAATTCTTCAATACCACATAAATGAAAGAAAATGAAAAGAGAAAAAAAATTATATTAAACAAACTGGAAGTGGCACTGTGGCTCAAAGTGGCAGAATGATACCTTGAGCACAAGGAGGCTCAGGGACAGTGCGTAGGCCCTGAGCTCAAACCTTACAACCAACAGCAACCAAAAAATGGAAGTGGTGCTATGGCTCCAGTGGTAGAGCACTCGCCTCGAGCTGAAGAGCCCAGGCCTAGAGTTCAAGCCCCAAGACTGACAAAAAAAAAAGGTTACAAGAGAGTTAGGGGTATGATTCAAAGGGTAGAGCAGCTAAGCCCCTGCCTAACAAAGCATAAGGCTCTGAGTTTAAAATCTCAGTACTGGAGGGGGTGGGGGGAGGCCAAGGAGGGAGGGAAGAAGAAAAGAGGGAAAGAAGAAAAGTTACAAGAGCTTGGTATGGTAGCAATTATCAATAACCCCGGTTCCTCTTTATTTGGATTCTGAGAAGCCCTAACTGTTCTTTGACAGCCAGAGACTGAGACAAAAGCTAAAAGACTAATAACTTAGTGCTTCCTGTGCACCTGTGCCTTTCCTGGTCACCTTTGAGAGACCGGAAACACATTCAAAGCATCCCATTCACAAACCATTTCTCTGTGGAGAGCTGACCTCTGACCCTTAAGCCAGAGGACAATCTGCTGATAAGGGTAAATATTTTGGAATTAAGAAGCCTTCCCTTGAAGCTTGTTGTATGGCCTTGGAAAACATGATTCAGATTCTCTATGCTCAGATGGTTTCTTGACCAGGAAGTAGAAATGGCAACATCTGCTCTTTGGGCTGTTAGAAAAGCAGTATAGTGCCTGGCCCCCAGCAGACACTTTATAGATGGGAACCAGCCCTGTTAAGTACTTCTTTAGTTCAAGACATTCATTTTGGTTACATTTTAATGATTCTGAAACCAGAATGTGTCTTATAACTAATAAGTCCATTTATATAGCTCCCCCTCCCCATCTTAAAAAGTTGGGTTTTAAGCTCAGTGTTGGTGGCTCACAGCTGTAATCCTAGCTATTTAGGAGGCTGAGATCTGAAGATCAACTGTCAAAACCAGCCAGGGCAGCAAAGTCTGTGAGACTCTTATCTCCAATTAACCAGCCAAAGACCAGAAGTGGAGGTATGGATCAAATGGTAAAGCACCAGCCTTGAGTGGAAAACACAAGTGAGAATTGAGGCACTGAGTTCAAGCTCTGGTACCAGCAAAACAATAACATAAAAAGATGGTTTGGCACGTTCTAGCTCTGAAACTATTAGAGCCTGTGTCCACAGAGGAACCTTCCTGGGGTTGTCCCAGTATAATGTCGGTTTGCCAAATGAACAAGGCTTGGATATGGAGGAGGGAGGAGGAACAGTGTGGGGAGAGAAAAAAAAAAAATATTTTAATGTCTTGCTTTTCACTGATGAACATAACTCAAACCTCCCAGGACACTCCTGTGTGCAAATTGAGGTGCTACTAAATACATGAATACATGCTCCCCTTCCCAGGGGCCGGCAGCTGGCTCCCTGTGTGCCTTTTATAATGGGACATCTGCTCTGTACGGTCACCAAATCAATTAAAAGTATTAAATGCTTAAACATAAAAGCTTAAAAATAAAACAATTTAAATCAAACATGTGTTATGTCGATTTCAGTTGTTTAGATCTAACAAGTCCATCCCTCTTCTAAAGACTTCCATTTAGGGGCTGGGAAGGTGGCTCAGTGGTAGAGCGCATGCCTTGCATGCCTGAGGCCCTCGGTTCGATTCCTCAGCACCACATAAGCAAAAAGAAAAAAGCCAGAAGTGGCGCTGTGGCTCAAGTGGTAGAGCGCTAGCCTTGAGCTGAAGAGCTGAGGGACAGTGCCCAGGCCCAGAGTTCAGGCCCCATGACCGGACCCAAAAAAACAAACAAATAAAATAAAGACTTCCATTTATTGCTGGTTGCTGGTGACTCACATCTGTAATCATAGCTACTTGGGAGGTTGAAATCTGAGGCTGTGGGTTTGAAGTCAGCCTGGGCTGTAAGAGGGGCTGGGAATGTGGCTCAGGGGTAGAGTGCTTGCCTTGCATGCATGAGGCCCTGGGTTCGATTCCTCAGCACCACATAAGCAGAAAAAGCTGGAAGTGGGTGCTATGGCTCAAGTGGTAGAGCGCTAGCCTTGAGCTGAAGAGCTCAGGACAGTGCCCAGGCCCAGAGTTCAAGCTCCACGACCAGCAAAAAAAAAATAAAAGAAAAAAGACTCTTATCTCCAACAACAACAACAACAAAAAAAAGCCAGACGTAGCTCTGAGGCTCAAGTAGTAGAGTGCTAGCCTTGAGCAAAAAGAGCTCAGGAACAGTGCCCAGGCCCTGAGTTCGAGCCCCTGGACTGGAACCAAAATAAAAAAGGCTGTAGGTCTTTGTAACTGGCTGCCTGCAGACCACTAGTGCTACAATAAAGATTCCAAAATTCAACCTCTCAAAATGTAGTTTCTCCATTTATATCTGACTTTATATCTGACTTTCTCCACTTAGATCTGGCTTTATATCTGACTTAAGGTATAATTTACCACACAACACATGGTTCCCTGACCGGGAAACCAGTCACCCAGACCCCCGTGCCAAGGAGGGCACCTGGGTTCCTCGAAGCCTCGCTGGCGGACGGCCTCGGGGAGCTGGCTGCCCGGAGTCGGAAACCCCCCAGGGGAGGCCCCCAAGGACTTGCTGCTCCTCTGACAGCCAGCCTGCCAACACCAGATGTGATAGCCAAAAACAATCTTTCTGGAGTCACTCAGAGATCTTCCGGAAGTAAGTCTCTGTTTGTCTTGTCTTCTGTTTGCATGCCTTCTGAATTCTGGGGATGGATCCATCTGGAACAGTGGAGATGATGGGGAGGGGATGCACTTGGGAACCCACCCCCTACCTCCAAGGGTGCAACAGCACCATGAGGTGGTGTGTTCTTTAGGGATGTGGTAGGGTAAGAGACTACCCGGCATAAAGCTGTGGTTGGGGGAGACTACTCACCACCTGGTGCCTAGTTTGCTCATGGTTGGGGGAGGGGGGTTCCCCAACCTGGCACCTGGTCTGGCTGTGGTTGCGGAGGAGCCCTACCTGGCATCTGGTCCGGCCATGGCTGCGGGTCTCTGGTCTACCTGCCTGGCATCTGATAGTGCTCCCAAACTGTAAAGGAGTTGGTGAGTTGGGCTTGCTGAATGGGAGTGGCAGGCTCACTCAACAGACTCTGGATTCAGTTTGCTGAGCAGGAGTGGCAAACCCACTGGGCAGACTTAGAGTTCTTGGTAGGGATGAGCTATGGACTCACTAGGTTTCTTTTTCTTTTCTTTTCTTTTCTTTTTTTTGGTCCAGTTGTGGGGCCTGAACTCTGGGCCTGGGCGCTGTCCCTTAGCTCTTCAGCTCAAGGCTAGAGCTCTACCACTTGAGCCACAGCGCCACTTCCGGCTTTTTTCTTTTTGCTTATGTGGTGCTGAGGAATGGAACCCAGGGCCTCAGGCATGCAAGGCAAGAGCTCTACCACTGAGCCACCTTCCCAGCCCCTCTTTTTCTTTTCTTTTCCAGTCCTGAGACTTGAACTCAGGGCCTGGACACTGTTCCTGAGCTTCTTTTGTTCAAGGTGTGCGCTCTACCACTTGAACCACAGGGTCACTTCCCGCCTTTTCTTTTTATGTGGTACTGAGGAATCAAACCCAGGGCTTCATGCATGCTAGGCAAACACTCTACCACTAAGCCATGTTGACAACCCCTCATTAGGTTTTTGTCTTGCCTTATTCTGTTTTAAAATTGATACCTCTTTTAAATGTGGATCAGCCTTGGGCTGGTCCCAAACCTGGTATGACCCCCCTCTTGCCCAGCTGCAGTTGCAGGAGGTGGAGAGTTGAGGTGGGTGACTTCAGGCCAAGTTTGGGTTTTTCTAGCAATCTGGCTAAAAGTGCAACTTAGTCAATGAGAACCTCCAAGGAGGGTCAGCAAGTTTGGGCCTTACCAAATGTTTTAAAGGATTATTACATTGTTTTAAAGAGGAACTTTAGTTGAAAGGTTTTCTAAGGATTCTTTATTTTGCAAGTCAAGAAAATCTAGTATTTTAGTGCATATGGCTGTTTACATTGTAATCAAGTTACCAGGCTTAGCGAAAAGGCATTGGAAACTTGTGGTTAATTTCCCTCCACTTCT